CACCACCAGAGGTTTTTATCATTACTAGACTTTAGCTGTGAGGTACTATAATATGTTTTATTATATTATTTTCCCTGTGAATCCAGATCACTTCATATGAATACTACTTTTTGAGAATACTTACATTCCTCATAATTTGTTTAGGATTTGAATCCATATTAGGTTTTTTTCTTTTGACTCTTCATTACATTTAACATTGTATCTTTTCATCATTAACACTGCTATTTTATCCTTTATTGGTTAGTAGCCTTTTTATTTTTCTAATTCCATTTACCAATGAAGCTTAATTTGTCATTGCTATTATTTGTGTGCGAGGGTCCCTTGCTTACTGAAGGCTGCATTTCTTTCCCCTTCACTCATGGCACACACGAGTTCCCTTGGCGACCAGCATCACCAGTCTAACTGCACGCTGGATCTGTTATCTAACACTACAAAGAGTTCATGAACATTCTGATCCCCTGACGATTCCAGTGACAAATTAGAGCCTGGTTCCTGGAGCCATTGCCTGATTAACCCCTTCACTAATTTCAAAGGAGCAGTGCAGGTTAGCTTGTGGTATCCTGAACTGCCTCTAGATACATTCTGTCGCAGGTGTCCTTCCCTACTCTGACCTTTGTCACGGAACAGTTACTACATTGCTCTGCATCTCTCACTGTAATCTGAGGTAAGCATTTTCTTGCCAGTGTTTCCCAGAGTGGGCAGTACCATCCCCTGGGGGGCTCTGGAAAAATCCAAGGGGGCTGCAAAACCAGAGATATACACTTTAGCTTGGATTATGGGCTATAGTACTAAAGTTTTTTAATTGTTAGAAGGGTATGGAGTAATTTTCTTTTTCTGAAAAAGAGGTTGTAGGTCAAATAAGTTTGGAAACCTGTGCTCTAGAGAATTCTGTAACAGTGTTCATATTGAGAAGTGTCAGAATGAACAACAGAGTTGTATGTGAATGGATATATTGGATTGTGTAAGATGTCAATAAAAGTATAATAATAATGACAAAAAAGAAATGTCAGAGCAAAGATAGCTATTTGGTTCGGCATTCTACTTCCCCCAGATAATTTGGATATTTGTCAATAAATTTCATGGCAGTAACTCTTTTTCTTTATAAAATTTAAAACTCTTTTGAAAGTCTTACAAGGGTTTGAGTGAATGCCTATATAACATTTCTCATACTGAAGAATTGCTCAATAAAATTAGTAACATTCCTTTTCCCAAATGATAGTCCTGGAAATAGCGCGCGCGCGACACACACACACACACACACACACACACACACACACACACACACACAAATACCCTGTGGGTATAATAGCATATACATAACCCTCAGGAGGAATCAAAAAAGGCAATCAATTAGTTTGCCCCAAAGTGACATGGCTTCAAATTCCTGACAAATGAGAATTCTCTTTCGTGGGTATTTTTAGTTACTAAAAGGTGAAAGATCTTGAATTCAATCAATTTTGTTAACTGAACTTGTAATATTTAGGATTATAGTCATTGAACTTTGTGCAGTCAGTATTACAAGCACCAATGCTTCGATGCTGAGGAGCAGCCTGGTTCCCACGTGTAGGCTAGTATATTAAACACAATGACTCTCTGATAACTTGGAAGGACAACAGATTGAATTCAATCATCTGGTATGGCCACTGGGCTTTTGAAACATTATGTATCCTCCTAATGAATTTTAGAGTTTGATAATCGTTTGTTGAAGAAATAAAACTCCAAATTTCTTAATAGCCAGAGAAATTCTTTACAGAGTTTGAGTTACTCCTTTGTGGACAAATATGAGACCAGCTCACTTTGAAGAGGGAAACTCCCCATAGCAAGGCAAAACTTAAAAGCTTGGTAATCCAAGTACTGAATTAAGCAATCATCATAATCAGTGATGCCCTAGATTAAATTCAGACAAATGAATTATGCCTTAAGTTGATCATATGATGTTCAAAGAAATCCCTAATCAAGAGGAGGGAATTGTGAAAAACACAGTCATAAAACTTTTTTTGACCATGACTGCATTATTGCATTTAATGGATTTCTTGCTGAATTAAACTTTTTATTCTTTGTTACTTTATATGCCTGACTAGGGATCCTGTTTGTTCTCCTGGTAAACTCCTGTCATCTGAGTATGTTAGTTACTTGTAGCCATAAAACTGAGAAGCAATTTCCTTCCCTGGTTAAGTCAGGATGTGAAAGAAAAAAAAAAAAGACCCTGAGGAAGAGAACCTCAACATAGCTGTCTTTTGTATAAAGTAGGCCATAGGAACATTTCTTTATGACAACAATATATTGACAGAGAATTGCTTGGAGCTGTCTTTATCTGAAGTTTCTAAGACCATTTAAAAGGTTCTGATTAAGAAGTTGTTTCAAGAAAATGATACCCTGGAACCAAGATAAATCTTTACATCTTCCTGAGATATCTGGCTAAAGCTGTATAAATATCCATCAGTGGAATTATATGATCTCATCTAAAACCTATAAAACTATGAACTCCCCTGAAATTAGTCCCTGAAATCAATCACTAACACTTTAGACCCAGTCATCAATAGAAGCCTGCTCTTAATCCCTAACTTATTTTACTTGTCTCCTCAAACCAAAATCAACTCTGCTTCATGAGTAGGATTGCCAGCCTGGGCATATTTTAGTTGTGGACATCAGCCCTCGTGTACACTGGTGTCTTTCTGCAGCTGCAGGTGATAACTATTTCCTTTTCTCTGAATAAATGCTCTTAAACGCAATTTTTTGCAGGATGAATGGATTTTCATCAACAACAGTGGGTATTATATTTTTGAAAGTTTAAAATTTATTATTATTTAAAATAGTGAAAAATGGGAGGTAGACAATTAGAATCAGTCATCTTTTTTTCCAGAGTCCCACTACTCTTCCCTTCTGAGCCTTTTCTCTAGTCTTCTTTTTGTATGTATTTTGGTTTATTTTGGTGTATTTGGGGATCATGGGTATGATCTCTGTACACTACAATGAATACAGTGCTGGGCTGTGACCTCCAGTGAGAGAACCTTGTGAAAATGTACACACAGAAAGTGGTGACTTGGCTTAGTTCGCAAGGTTTGTGCTATTTTAATTGTGCTATTTGAACACTGGTCCATTTTAATATGTTTTGGAAGGACTATTTATATGCACACTCATAGCCTCCTTGGACCTTTCAGATTTTCCAACATTTTTCTTCTGTTTTCTTGGTATTGACTATTAAAAATAGTTTAATGTCACCTTCAAAGGTGACAAATATGACTATTTATCCCTTCCAGAATATGTGAATAACAAGTGAAAACTTGTTCTAGAATTATTCATTCATACTTATTTTATTTATGCTGAACATCCAAATTTGTTTGACAGTTCCCTATCAATGAAAAAAATCCCTCCAATCTCAATTTTAAATAATTTTCATTAGATTATCCCCCCTTGAAATGTTACTGGCTCCTCTTTGCTTATATGAAACAATGGAAAAAGTAGAAGGAGTCCCTACCCTCCTAGAACTCATAACTGAGCCAAATGAACCAGGGATGTGAAACGACCTTTCCAGGTCACATAGTGGTAGAGCTGACTGACAAATAGTAGCTAACATTTTTGAGTATTCTCTATGTACCAAGCACTGTTGAAGCATCTTGCCTATGAAGGGGTACCGGAAAAACCCTGAATTGTGCTGGGGAGAGCAGAGCTTTCGTAGTATGCTTTTTTCCTGCTAGGCAAGCATCGAGCAACTCGCTCTGAGTTAGTGCACCCAGTGGCATCACCTGGGAAGGTTCTCTCTGGTCACAGAATTTTTTGGTAAAATCAGTTGTGCTCAAATCTCATTTATTGTGATGACAGTTTAAGAGAACAGTGTGCGGCTGTGAAATTTTGTTACCTGCATGGCGAAAATACTGCAGAAACTGTTGGGATGTTACAAGGAAAGCACTATGGGGAAAACTCAAGTGTACAAGTGTTTTTCTCATTTCAAAAAGTGAAATGTCGATTGACGACAAACCTCATTGTGGATGTCCATCAACTTCCCGAGTGAACAAAAATGTCAACCTGTAGTGCGTTTGGAGTTCGTTCCACCAGGTCAGATTGTTAATCAGGCTTTCTATTGAGAGGCTTTGAAAAGATAGTGTAAACAAAAGGCCTGATTTGTGGCAGTCACGGGACTTGTTTTGCTATCACAACAATGCACCTGCTCACACAACCATCTCAGTGTGTCAGTTTTGGGCAAGAAACAGCATGCCTCTCTTGCCCATGCACCTTTCTCACCTGACCTCACTCCTTGCGACTTCTT